AGGATACTCTTTATTTTTACAGACACATTTGAAAATCTCTGTTTTCAGCATGCATATTAAGGTGACAGTAATAAAATACAGAACTATTCATCAATCAATCAAGAAAAATTGAAACAGCGCTTGCAATGTGCCAGACTATGCTAGTTATGAAACTCACATAGCTAAATAATAAATAATTCATCCGTCTAAGAAACTCATGGTCAGAATAGATAAGTTAATGGATAATTATAAAATGTGAAAGGTGGGCAGTGATAAAGGCATACTGTGCTTCACCCACATAAACACGGAACCACAGAAACCCAGGGGGTAACCTGCCCATCCTTGTGAAGAGATTCCAATGGTCCATCCCCACTGTGTCCTCCACCCATAGGGAGATGGGCCCTACTGGTCTGGGACAGTCTTGGAGCATGGTGAGTCCCTGCTTGGCTTACAGCTCTGGGCTCAAGATTGTTCAGTCCTGCATTTGGGAATTCATGTGTAATTAAAGTCAGCTTTCAGATCTGATTTCATGTGGAATTACCCTGCTTTCATGGAGGAATCCTCGGGTCTAGAAACTGATTCAACAGATCTCTTTAACAAGTCATTGTCTAAGGTGATACAGTGTTAGGCCTGGGTCTTGAAGGACTCAGACAGGTGACTGGATACAGGGAGGGTAGCTGGTATCTGTGTTTCAACTTGATATGTTGTGTGTTTGTTCATTATAGGAGCTACTTGTGGTGGTCTCTGTGTTCCTTGATATACCCTAAACCCTCTTTAGATTGTTCCAAGTAGCATTTTGACTACAAAATCAGACTCATTTTAATCAATTTTCAGTTTGGATTCTGTCCCACCTGCCCTCTTTCTAGTCCTAACTCTATTCATAGTATTAAAACACATTAAAATTACAACTAATTTAATTTAAAAGTTGAATGGGCTTTTGTTTGTGATTCTAGAAGCAGGCAATATCTCTTTCTGAGAAATAGAGTAAGTGTTCCACTGAGCCAAGCAAAGAAAATTGACTTTATAGGTAGAAAAGGGTGGAAGAAAACAGAAACAGAACAAACAGTAGATTGATCATTTCAAATTACTTTCCTTGCAGAGTTAGTATAGGGGACTTCCTTATTACACAGACTCAGTTGGACAGGGATTCTGGAAAACTGGCCCATTTCAAAGTTCTTTTGGGTTATATAGCACTTAGTAGAAGCGATCGTTCTGGTCTGCCAGCTCTGCTGGCACCTAGGCAGAAAGGAATGGCCTCTCATATGCTGTGCTTCACTGTCACATCATTTGTTTAATAGAAGGATAAAAAAGTCACGTTTCATCCACGGTAACTAAGGATGTTTCAGACAAAGCTGTGTCATAACGAAGCAGCCATAGCATTCTGCTCTTTCCTTATGGAGCTAAAAACAGAGGGGATGTCCTCAGCAGAAGCAAGGCTGTTTCTGGAGGGAAATTCTAGTGCCACTGGCAAGAGATTCTGTGGCCTCTCCTTGCGGCAAGGAGATCAGCATATACCTGCCTGACCTCAGAGGTTCTGGGCTTGCCTCAGTCAGCAACATAAAATACTTTCATTCAAGCATCTCAGGCCTTGAAATAACTGTTGGTTAGATCCTGTTAAGTGTGCCCCTGGATAAATTAATATCAAAAAAGACTGTGAGCCTGACTAATGCTATTGAGCGATGGGTTTTTCTATTAATCTAAAATAAAACAGGAAGTATGATGATCATGAAACATATTTTTCATACTGCGAAAGTATTGAGTTTGAAGGACTACAAGATTGTTTCTTATAATAAATTTTGATGTCAGAGATCTTATTAAAGGTGATGGGTGATTATGTCAGATGTTCTCATCCAAACAAACAGTTGGCAGCTTTATATTGGGTTCCAGTCACTATAGGGGAGGAATTTGGCTGTTTCATGATGCCCTCAGGTTTGGAACTGCATAAATAAGAATCTGGGATGCACTGTTTGAGAGCTTTCTCAACCTTATCATTAATGGCATTTGGGACTGGACACTTCTTTCTTGTGGATGGCTTCCTGTGCTTTGTAAGATGATTAGCAGCATCACTGGCAGCTACTTGCAAGAGACTGGTAAAAATCCATCCTTCCCTGATGCCATAACTGAAAATGCCTCTAAGTATTAATAAATGTCTGCCTGTCCACAGGAGTTAAAATTGGCCTCCTCCCCAAACATGATGGATGACTGCTAGTCTACAGCAATATTGGTCAAATTATAGACTCAACCCATTAATGTCCTGTAAACTAAATTTAGAGGGTCAATAACCGCATTTTAAAAATTAAATGCATGAGAAATATGGTATTTTCAATAAATAGTGCTGGGGACTTGGATATCCACATGTGGAAGAATGAAACTAGATTTCTATTTGACAAATTACAAAGATAACTCAAACATATTAAAGATGCATTTGCAACATCAGAAACTATGAAACTAATTGAAGAAGACATAGGAGAAATGCTTTAGAACATTGGAATGGGCAAAGCCTGTTTAAACAAGATCTCAAAGGTGCCAAAAACAAAACCAAGAATAGGTAAATGGGACTACATCAAACTGAAAGATTTCTGCACAGAAAGGAAATAATCAACAGAGTAGAGAACAACCTACAGAATGAGAGAAAATATTTTCAAACTTTGCATCTGACAAGGATTTAATATTCAGAATATATGTGTTATATATATGTTATGGTTTATATCTAAAATGTCTCCCGAATGTTGTGTGTATTTGGAAAATGGTTGGATCACATGGATCCTTATAGCTGACTTGCTGTTAGGATTGGAAGCTGGGTGTAGATGGGTCATCTGGAGCGTAACCTGAAAGGGACCACTCTTGTCCCCAGTTCCACTTTTCTCTCACTGGCTCCTGGCTCTCATAGGTTGAGTATCTTTTTCTCTACCATGCCCATCTGCCATTCTCTTTCTGTTTTAGGGGCTGGAAACCATGGATGGAAACCATGCCATGGATGGAAACCATGAGCCAAAAATAATCCTCTTCTCTTTTAAACTGTGGGTGTCGGATGTCATGTCTAGTGACCAGGAAGTGACTATGACAATAAGAAACTAAAAAAACTTAATAGCTTCTGAGCAGCACACAGTAGGCTGAGGCAGGAGGATTGAGAATTTGAGACTAGTCTGGACTACATAATGAAATCCTGTCTTGAAAATCTAAAAAGCAAAACCAACTAAACCGAACTAGACCAGATTAAACCAGACCAGACATAATAAAATATTTTCATAGCAAAAACAAACAAAAACAAATAACCCAATTAAAAATGGCAATAAACATTTCTCAAAAGAAGACATGAAAATGTGTGACAAATGTGTGTTAAGCGGTGTTCAGCGTCTTTCTTGGATCCATGATGGAGGATCACCGTGAGATGAGGATGCTTCTGTTGATGTAGGCAAGAAGCAGCAATGATAACACAGGTGGATTCTTCGTGTCACAGTACCACAAACCCCTCTAGGGCTGGAAGGAGCCCTGAACTGAGCAAGGTTACAGTTTCCCCACCTGCACAAATAGAGCTTTGAGGAGAAATTAAGTTCAATTATAAAAAAAAGATTATCAATAGATATGACCAGCTTGATTAGTATTCACCCTAATAAGCATCTGTGATGCTTTACAGTATATGAAGGACCTTTTCCTTTATTTTCATAGCTTAATTAATACAAAAATGTTAAGGCATACTGTTATTACTTCTCTAATCATTTTAAACATGAGAAAATGGAAGTAGAGAATCATTAAACTATATTTAAGTAATAGCAGGCAAGTCCTTAAAGGTATTTGCTGAATGAACAAATGAATGAATAGATTCTTGGGTATGTGAGTGTCTCTTATGCAGTCCTCACCTTAATAGAGGTCTCTTCTGTGGGATACTTGGTCTCAGCTTCCTTTATTTCACTCAGGAAAGCAGCTACTTCTGTTGCCAGCCAAAACAGTTCACTTTTATTCCTTATCCCCAAATCCCTGCTTTTAAAATTATTCCTAACAACTCTTTTAGTCAAGATGTCTAGATTTTTTTCTTTCATTTATATTTCTAACAACTGTTTTTTAAGCTTATGTTTAATTGTCAGCTTCCCCAGATGATCTTTAGAAGCAGAGGGCAAGATTGTAATCAATATGAGCAAATACTTTGCTAGCTCTTTCTGAAAAAAATTGTAGTTAAAATTCATGATAGTAAGAATTTCTAAAGTGGCAAGTTGCCTTTCTAAGATATTACCATGTCTTATTTTAGATTTACTGTCAGCAGCTAATCTACATTATTAAATAAGATTCAGTGCATTGGAATCACTGAATAATTACTGTGTAGGATAAGGAGTACTTCTGCAATATTATTAGTTTAATCATATAAGTTTCTTTTAAGAAATAACCTCAGCATTACTTGAAAGAGATGGAATATGTTTTATTTCTCACAAATTCAACAAATTTGTAATGAGAACAATGCCAGAAATATAGTAAATTTTCTTTGGACATATCTTAGTGACTTTTTTCATTGCTGAGACAAAATATCCAACACCCACAAGTTAAGGGAAAAAAGCTTTATTTGGATCACAGTTTGTAGAGGTTTCAGTCCAGAATCAGCTGGCTTCAAGGCATGGTGCCATAGCAGAGGGCATCGTGGAGGAGAAATAGTCCATGACAAGCAGGCAGGCAAGAACAAGGGATAGGGGACAAGACAAGGGGGACAAGACAAGCGAGGGGCAAGAGAAGCCTCTTTCTGTCCCTTATATTGTATCCAGAATACTAGGATTTAGGACAGTGCCAAATTAGTCAGTGGACTGACCCAGAAATCACCCAGCCTTAATCCCAGCACCTTTCCTCCTGGCATTACACCATGAATCAATCACACACTCTGGATTCAGCCACCTCCACAAAAGCTTTGCCTTTGACTGCATGATGCTTTGGGGGAACATCTAGACACAAACCATAACAGGATGATTTTTAAAATGTAAAGGCAATACATGATAAATAAAATGTAACCCTTAATAGATGCTTAATTTTTTCTTCAGGCATCATAACAGAGAAGCTTTTCCCAAAGATTATGATATAGAGGGTCCTGAGAAAGTGAAAAAACTTCTTAATTCAACGTACTGCCGACTCGGAACTGATGAACCTCCAGTGAGTAGTTGTTAATAAATTCTGGCGTCTTTGTCATCATAAGACATAAAAAAGTAAGGGGAGGGGCATTTTTTCAGCACCCAATTCCTTGTTAGCTAGGTTACTTAGGCAGATAACTAGCTATTCTGTGCTTCAGCAAACTTACCCATGAAATGATTCTACTTCATAAGGTTATTGGGGGAATTCAATAAAGCCAGCGCTTAACATGGTGTCCGGCTGTAGTACTTGTCCTTTGCCAAATGGTATGGGTTTGATGGCTTGGTTGTTGATGGCCTTTTGGGAAGTGATTGGACCATGAAGCCTCTAATTTCATCAGTGGAAGGATCCATTGATGGGATCGTAATTTGATGACGTTATTGGTACACAACAGAAATAAGAGAAAGAGCCTAGGTGAGAGGGCATGGCCTGGGGACTGTGTTTACTTAATGTCCCCTTCCTCCCTCGCTCTTCCCTTCTTCTGTTTCCTGGCTGCTATGATGTGAGCATCTTTCCTTCGTCACCACCTTCTGCCGTGCCTCAGACCTGAAAGTGAGGGAGCCAGCTTACTACGAGCTGAGCCTTCTGATGCCATAAGCCTAAGCTGTTTATCTCAGACATTTTGTCACAGTGATGGGTAGCTGACTATTACGGTTAACATAATGAAATACCAAAAACACCAGACAGGCTATTATGAAGTAAAGTGAGGCTTGCCCTGGCTCACAGACCTGGAGGTTCAAGTGCAAATTCATGTGATCCCATTAGTTTGGGCCTCTGGCAAGGGTGGCATCTAACTGTGAGAATGCATGTCACAGTGAGAGGTCACATTTTGAGGCAGGAAGCAGAGAGGGATTGAGAGACTGGGGCTCCATTTCCCCTTTTGAGAACAAAGCCCCTGTGACCTAATTACATCCCCCAATGACTTAATGACTCTCACTCAACATACTTCTTAAAGGTCTTGCATAGTTCCCAATGATGCCATGCTGGGGACAAAGCCCTTACTATGTGACATTTTAAGGGATATTCAACTTCCAAATGGGCACATAGCAAGTACTCAAGAAATTTTTACTATGGTGGTGTTGTTACACAGAGGAGAGAGTCCTAGAAATCAAGGAGCTTATACAAAGTCACAAAGCTGGAGAGGGGACTGAAATTTGAACTCAAGGTTTTTGTTCTTAAGAACAAAACATCAAGTGGAGTGTCAAGCAGTTAAAACATGCTATTAATATTATAATATTTGTATGTCCCAGTTACAAAATGAATATGTGCTGCATACTGGTTTCTGTATGAATCTCTGTGTGTGGGTTACAAAGTGTCTACTTTGTTGTCTGTCCAGTAAACACGGGGCAGGAACTCAACTTCTAAAACCCTCCCAAGTTGTATTCTACAATGCCAGAGGATTGGGGGCTGGATGAAGACTCACCTCAGTCTTGGCAGATGGTTTTGGTGTCTAAAGAGCTTCTTACGACAATAATGGATGTGAATGTGATAAGAAGACTAGTTTGTACCATAGTCTGCCCCCAAAAGCTAGGCAGACACATAATTCTATACCAGAAATTGTTCTAGAAGATTCTCTGTGCTTCAGAGTGATAGGAATAAATTACCTTACCATGGCAGTGCAATTGCCCCCCACCTATTGTCTCCCTGAACAGAGAATAATAAAGATAACTTGAAAAATAGATTTATTATAAGGTTACAGGTGCTTGGATATAGAACCAAGAAACTTACAAAAGCCAAAACAGCTTTCAAGCCAGATATTTCCCACTGCACCTATGTTTGTCAAGTAGTGTCAAAAATACCCAAGAAAATCAACTTTAAAAGGAAATAATTATTTTGGTTCACAATGTCAGAGTTCTAGGTTTGTGGGAATTCTGCCTCCCTCTATCAGCTTTAGAGTATTAGTTAGGAAGGGAATAGATTGAGGAGTTTTTATGTTTGATAAAACTACTACTCTCATATCTTAGTAAGTTATATTTTTTCTGTACTAGATATTTTTTATATATAAAGTACTTGTCCATCTACATTGGTGTTTGTTCTTTACAAGAAGGCTACCAAGTTGGCAAGAAAGATATTATCATTAATGCATTTCTACACCTAGAATTCCAGATCTTTTTTTTTTTTTTTTTGATACCAGAGATCAAACTCATAATCTTGTGCTTGCCAGGCAGGCACTTATACTGTTGAGCTAAATCCCCAGCCCTAGAATTCCAGATCTTACATGACTAAACCAAGGGCCTAAGTATACAGGAAAGGAAATAGACAGGGCCTACTGGCCTTCATGTAATGGGTAGATAAATCCCTTTTCCTGTGGCCACAGAGTTGTGATAGAGACTTAAAGACAATCCTGATCATTGGCAGGTATCACACATCTTAAAGCAAATTACTGGACTACCTGGGTGGAACCTTTTGAGAGATTATAAACTAAATTAAACGAGTACTAGTAATTATGTTCCTGAAGACTATGGCCTAAAGAATTGAAAGAGAATTTATTTAGTTGTGGGTTGCATGTCCATTCTTTTGCAGTTGAGGGGAGCTTCAGGGGAGTCACTCAGATTAGTATTGTGTCCTGAAACTTAGAGAACATAGGTCTAGATAAACAACATATGCCTGAGAACCTAAACATGAGAGGCCCCTCCTGATGTGGCAGAACAGGAGGAGAAAGGGGATGAAGTATCCTTGGAAAAGGTGTAGCAGAGGCCACCCATGAATGAATGGAGTTGCCTGTGGGAGCCATGGGGGAAACTCCTCTCAGAGCCCTCTTGCAAAGTTTGTCAGGAGTGGAGTGCAAAGAGACTTCCAACTAGGGACCCACCAGATACCCAAAGCTCAGGAAGAGGAGTTATTTCACCAGCAGGAGAAGCTTTGCTGCTTCTTGTCAGCTATAGTAGAGATCTTCGGTAAGTGTTGGGAGCCGCAGCCCCGAGCCCGGTCGCCTTACTTGGCGGACGTGAGGCCTGTAGGAAAGAGCAAAGCCTGAGCTAGATTACCCCTCCCATCGAGTGTGCTAAGATGGCGCTTATCTCCTGCTTGGTAAACAACCCGCCCTGTAAGATCTCCTGCTTCTTGCTTGGTAAACAACCCACCCTGTAAGATCTCCTGCTTCCTGCTTGGTAAACAACCCGCCCTGTAAGATCTCCTGCTTCACAACCCGCCCTGTAAGATAGTCTGCCTAGTAACAACTGAACCCTATAAAAGTGAGTGCCTCTCCCGCCAAAGAAAGAAGAAGCAAGAAGAAGCAGAAGAAGCACGCAAGGAGCCGCGGAGAGCGGACCGGTAGAGGCTTCGGGACAGACTGTAGGAAGAAGCACACAAGGAGCCGCGGAGAGCGGACCGGTAGAGGCTTCGGGACAGACTGTAGGAAGAAGCACGCAAGGAGCCGCGGGGAGCGGACCAACAGAGGCTTCGGCCGGGAGGATTCCCGGGGCAGGCTGTACGGAGAAGGAAAATAAAAGAAAAGGTTGTCCACTGCCAGACTTTGTTGTGTGTCCTTCCTGCCGGCCGGGAGTGACACCGACAGGTAAGGGAATGCCTGAAGACAACTGAAAACTCTCCTAGAAGAGAAGTTGATTTTGAGGGTCCTCCAAGCCCAGGGGAAAGAGTACAGGCCCAGATAGTATGGGGCACATAACACACAGTGATGAACAACATTCCACTCACTGCAGGTTCCCAGGCCTGAGGCAGAACTGAGCTGGGAAAGTAGGAAGCTTACAGGTAATAGTCAAAGTGTTATTATTTCACTGGACTGGAAATTTTCACAAGTGGGATGAGATCCTTGAGATTTGAGTGGCCCAGAAAAGCCATGAGACTTCCCTAAAATTTCCATCAAGCAAAAGGAGAGAACTAGCTGTGCACATGCGGTGAAAGGTGTGACCCGATCCAAATAAAGTTGCTCTGTGATTGCACCCTATTGGTGAAATAAGATCAATTCAATAATACATTTACACTCACACTGAAAGTGCTTCACTTCACCCTCTGAACAACTCTTCAGGCAGGTACACAAGCGACCTGCCTTGTAGAGATGAAGAAACTGAGACCAAGTGAAGCTTAATCAGTTGGTTAAAATAAACAGCTAGAAAGTATATTAAAAATTAAAATCCATTTTTATCCTCTGGCACTAACGTCTAAGATCTTAAATACTTCTGCAAACTACCTCCTGGAGTGTCACACTGCACAACAGCCAGTTCAGTGGCTTTTTAAACCTCCCTGAGCTGCATCCTAATTATTGTTTGGTCTTACTTGGGTGAAATATATCTCACTGCGTATGTGTTTGGATTTTTTGCATCTTAATTCCTTCCTCAACTAAAGGAAACTTTTGTCATTTTCTTGATTTATACCCCCATGTGTGGCTGGCTAGCCTTCCCTACTGCTTCCCCTCCTGGATGTCTTCTTAGCATTTTTGGTATTTGTAAGATTGCTGCTGAGAGGAGGCCGCTCATATACAATAACATTTCTCTTTAGCTGATTGAAAGTTTTCCTGTACTTAAATTTTGCCAGTGGGGTTAATGTGAGCACCTTTTATTTGTAACAGTATTTAGAACGAGATTCACGTTGTCTACATTTGGCTGAGGCTCAAAAGGCCAAGAACAAAGCAATAATTTCACAAGCCACAGTGAAGTATTAGGTCACTTATGTAAAGTCTCCAAATAAGACGGTGCTTGTAGATCTTCCCTCATGTGAAGAATATAAGAGAACAGAAATGCAAGCAGCCAAAAAACGAGTTTGATAGTGCAGGAAAGTGAGCACTCTAACTCTCCTCTGCAAAGCTCTTGGGTGCTTGGTGAAGCTATGGACACAAGGCTCTGGTAGTTCTCCGTCTGCCAGAACTGGGACAAGATGTGTGAGTACTGGAGCCCAGATGTGGCTCTTGTGTATCAGGGGCGGGCCACGGGGAAGAGAAAGAACAGGAAGCTGTCCCATGTGTAGCATGGGAAGAGCGTTGGCTGGAATCCTAGGGGTAGCAGCTGGACGTTTAAGGCCAGCTAGAGGCAGCCTACATCATGCGATATGCTGTGGAAGTTTCTAAA